ATTCATCAGCTATATTGGAGCTGTCGCAAGAGCAAATGTGCCTATAACAATCAGAAATTAGAAGAAGGCAGATCAATCTACGAGGCAGTATATTTGGAAATAAGTAGAGGTGTGTTTGTTAACTTACCATTATGTGACTGTTGTGCCTATAATAGTTTATCAATTTACTAATAAAATGCTAATATTTTACAGTCAGCATTTATAATTGATGCTAGTCGAAGGAAGTATGTCCTCCAAATAGCTGGGAGAACAATGTGTTCTTTTCAATATTTTGTGGGATCAAAATATATTAAAAGAGCGGGTGGAAACATTAGTCTCGAGGGCCCCACTTTAATTAGACCTTTGGTAACCCAATAACAATGGAATGAATTTGTTACATCTCGTTTTCAAATGGAATTTTAGGTGATTTTACTTTACCAATTGATTTTAATTTTCTAATAATATTATGCTATATTATAAGTTTAATTGATTTTAATTTTTTTCATAGCAATTGAGCCAACAAAATCAGGAGTTGGTTAAGAAAAATCCTTATCCTTTTAAGAAAGGACGTGTGGGGTATTCAGGCATAGAGGAAAAGATGGTATTTATTAATTACTAATTTATTAATTTTAAAATTACTTCACATTTATTTATTATATTTGCTAATTGCTAATTCTTTTGCTATTGACATGCATAGATTGAGCGAGAAGGCATAAGAGTTAGTAGCATATCCCGCCATGTTCTTTTCATAGAAGGCTGAACCAACAAAGAGGGTAACATTACAGATAAGCATGTTCAGGAGATAGCTAATAAATGGCTAAGTGTCAATATTATTAATTTGACATAGTAAATTCACTTTTTTCATTCAAACAAATAATTTAAGTTTTTCAATTTGTGTCACATAGGCTGCTATCTCAGATGAAGTCTCAAAGGGTGAGCGTCCGGAGGATGAAGATATCTTGGGTCAGGCATTAGGTAATCTTAACCACCTTGGATGCGTTAGGGGTGTTGGTTTTGGCGTCACTAAGAAGCAAGTATTTAGGACTACAAAGCCATCAAAAGGTACAATGCCTTCTTCAGCTGAGTTTAATGCACAAAAAGATGAGGTTGATAGGCTGCATCGGTTGGTTGATATGTTGCTCACGTCCCAGGGAAAGGCATCCACTCCTGTGGACATTACTCCCAATAGTAAGAGAGACAGTTGCACTGTAGCTCAGCCTTCTCATCCAAACCTTCCTAAGGTAATATTAATATTTTTTTAGTTATATTCATTTTTGTATTAATAACTTATAAATGTTTCCATTGCTTTAGGGTGAAGCCGAATGTGAGTTTTTGGCAAACAGTCCAGATCGCCGTGTGGTTGCAATTGGTATAATGTATAATGTCCCTAGGGGCACCATACATAATGTGCTAATTCCTTTAGGCCACGTACGAGTTTGTCTAAAAGTTTCTTTGGATGATAACTATCAGCTACCCATTCCCATGAAGGATGTGATGACAGTAGGAGATGCATTAGGCACCTTTGTTGCATGGCCCACCGCCCTTGTAAGGCCAATATCTAACAAAGATAAGGTACATATATATATATATATATATAATTTATAAAGCTGATCTCAAACAAAGATAAGGTATCTATATAATAACTTTTGATCTTTAACTATCTCTGGTGTATAGTCTAAGGAAAAAGACTTCCCTAACAAACAATCAATTGGCAATGAGTCAAAGATTATCACACCTCCCTTGCTTCAAAAGATGGAGCCTCAATTGTCACATAAATTCCTGACTTCACTGGGGGCATATGCTGACATGCAAAGGATTATTCATGATTTTATTGCTGTAGACGTCCCATTCGAGCATGGCATGTATAACAGAGATTATACCAATGACATAACACTCAAAGTCATAGATGAAGTACTCCACCATGGCATGATTAGTACGAATGTCATGGATTTTTATTTGAGGTACTTCTTTTGCACAAGAGTGGTCATTATTTTTATAAATATATACTAATATATTTGATTTATTAATTTTAGGTTTCTCTATCATACACTTATCGTGCCCCGCAACCTTACTAGGATATTTTCCTTCATTTGTCTTTATGACATTGCTACTTTCCATGACATTCAGGACTTTGATTGTGAAGATAAAGCAAAGTGGCTGTGTGATTCATTCAAAGCCAGGACTACTAAAAAAGGGGGGAGGTTATTCTTGATACCTTATGTGCAAGGGTTAGTTATTTGTTATATTTAATGTGTTTTCTCAATTTTATTAACTATTTCAATTTTTTATATATTCTTTACAATTGTTAATTATTTTAGGGATCATTGGATGTTAATTGCCCTTAATCCAACTGAAGAAAAATATGAGAAATTGGCTATCTATTACTTGTGTTCTGCTAGCGAACAATCGGATAATCGCAAAGATATGATAGAATTAATGAACAAGTAAGTGCATTAATTAAGTTCATACTTGTGTTTTTTTATATTTAAAACTTACCAACTTTTGTATTTTTAGGGCTGTGTTTTTGTACCACACAGATGAATCTTTAACTGTCCTTAGGGTCAAACCATTTGACCAATTATTCACATGGACAGTAATAAAGGTACGTGTTTAAACATTAATTGTTCAGTATTTATTAATAATTATTCAATAATTTAATATATTTTGTTTGTTTTTTTTTTAAGTGCCCGCGTCAAAGACCAAATTCAGTGGACTGTGGATATTGCGTGATGAGATTCATTAGGGACATCATCACTCACGCCAAGACTTCAATCCCTACCAAGGTTCATATTTAATTTAAATATACATTTTATATATGGCAAAATTTCATTAGTTAGCTAATTAACTTTGATATGGTTATAATTTAAATTGTAGTATTATGATGACGCTTATTGTGAAGAATTTGGGGATGCTCACATCAATGAAGTCGTGGAAGAGTGGTGCCAATATATATTTCAACTTTGGATCATGCAAAATTCACGCATTTAGTGAGTGTACATTTGGTCTAGCTTGAAGGCAAAAAGAATGTGGCTTAGGATAGAATTATTGTTTCATTTTTTAGGATAGAATTGTGATTTAGGATTAAGATTTGCAACTTTTTTGTTTATAATTAATGTGACTGTGTATATATGCGTATATATATATGTACATGTTCTTTCAATTCTGAAAGAATGTTGCTGATGATAATATATATTTGCTGGATTGTCTGGATTATGAAATAATGTCAATTCTGTTGCAGGGGGCTGCTTACATGCAGCTGCCATATAAAAAAAATTCTACAACATATTTGACAGTTATTTTGATAACCGTCAAATATGTTCATATATTTTATGGTTATTTAGCATAACCGTCAAATATATACATAAATATTTGACGGTTTTCACATCTAACCATCAAATATAACCTTATTTTTTCAGTCAAAGCAAGTTCTTGTACCTTATACTTGACAGTTATTTAGAACCGTTAAGTATAATATCACATATTTGACAGTTAAAATAACCGTCAAGTATATGGAGCTGCATAAATGATAGTGTCTTATTTGATGGTTTTTAACTGTCAAATATAAAGGAAAATAACCGTCAAATATGCATAATTCTATAGTAGTGAGCCATGAACCAAGCAGTGTGTGTGTGGAGATGCATCCCCTCACATGAGGCAAATTACATAGGTGGTACAATCACACACCTCAGTTTTAAAATTGTGAACCCTCTAGGCTTAATAGAAAAATATTTGAATTCTAAATCTTTTTAAATAAATAATATTTTAATTCATATTTTATAAATTTAAACCAAAAAAATTATACTCATTAGACATATTATTAAAAAATAAATCAAGAGTTTTTTATTTTATATTAAAATTCAAGCACAACAAATTAAAGTTGTTGTCGGTAATAGTTTTCTTTTTCTTTTTTTCAAATTAAACAGTATATCAACTTTCTCAACATATTTTTTTTCCTAAAGAAATCTCCAATATATTTTTTTCCAAATAAAAATATATATAATTTTACTTATGTTATTATATTTTTATTTAATGTAATTATTTTTTAAATTATTAATTTTTAAATTGAGGCGTCTCCCACGCACTGACTTTGGGTCCTAGCTCTACCGTTGAAACCAAGTTAATCGATAGCCAGAACACCAGCAATAGCTGCTGGAACTATGGCAAAGGTGACAAATTAATTTTTTTTGACAAGTGAGTTCAAACTTCCCTCAATCACCTTAAAAATAATTAACTTGTCACTTTTGCCAGAACTCCGATGACCGGTAACAATGGAATAATTTTTTTTAAATAAATGAGGTGTGATTTTGTCTTTTTACATTAAATTTTAATTACATATTAGTTTTCTAATTTGGTCCTTTAGAGTGATTTCAGAATTCTTTGATGCTTTTATGTGACTATAGTACTATGGAGGCCCTTGATTATAATTTTTCCTTCTTAAAATTTTATTCCAGTGAAATTTATTTATTTGAATTTTAGTCATTTAATTCCTTATTTTATATATTATATAACTTGGTTCATTACTTAATTTTTATGGAACTATTTTTTTTTAAACTGTAAGGACTAACAAATTAAACAGTTAAAACTCAAAGAATTGAATTGGACAAGTTCTGGCCAAAAAAAAAAAATTGGACAAGTTAAATCTCAAAAAGCTGTTATTAAATTAAACTATAAAAACTGAATTATTATTTTTAAAAAAATAATGTATGTATGTATGTATGTACACTCCAGTTGAAATTATAAATTTATATTTTAGTCTATAAATATAAAAAATTATATGTTCTTAGAACTCAGTACTTTAGCCGAAGTTAATATAATTAATGTTTTGGATCCTCTATGCGTGTACACATCTTAATTATTTTTTAGATATATATCTTTCTTACAGTCTTATGTATAATAAATTCTTTTTGTAGATTATTTGAACTTGATAGGCACTTTCATTTTTAAATATCGCTTGGCATATTTATGTATATAAGTAATCTTCAGATTTGCAATTTATTTCAAGATAGCGAAGGCTCTTGGCCATGGACAACTCAACACTTCTGCTTCTACTTGCCTTTCTGGTCTCATACCTTAGGACAGTCATCTTCTTCCGTGGAAATCAAAGCCGTAAATCTTCCAAGCTACCACCAGGACCTCGTCCTTTTCCGATCATCGGAAACATCTTAAAAATCGGCAAAAAGCCTCACCAATCACTCTCTGAACTTTCAAAAACTTACGGATCTATTATGACCATCAAACTGGGTACCATAACCACCATAGTTATTTCCTCACCAGAGATGGCCAAAGAAGTACTTCATAAACACGACTCAACATTTTCAGGTCGAACTGTCCTTCACATACTACAAACCTTAGACCATCACAAAGTTTCTGTAGCGTTTTTGGACCCTTCAGTTCATTGGAAGACCCTTAGGAGAGCCTGTGTTACAAAAGTTTGCTCATCTTCTCAGCTTGATTCCACCAAGAATTTTCGTTTAAAGAAGCTCCAAGATATGTTGGAGTATCTGGATGAATGTTGCAGAAAAGGTGATGATCAAGTTTTAGATATTGGTGAAGTAGTGTTTACAACAATCCTTAATTCTATATCTAGCATTCTTTTCTCTATTGACCTCGCTGGTTTTGCTTCTGATTCAACTCGAGAGTTTAGAGATGCTATACGGGGTGTGATGGAAGAAGCTGGGAAGCCTAATATTGCAGATTTTTTCCCTGCTCTTCAAGTACTTGATCCACAAGGTGCACGATCAAGAATGGACGTTTATGCTGCAAAATTAATCAATATTATTGATGATATTGTTGGTGAAAGAATGGAAGGTAGAGCAGCAAAAATGGAGCCCAAGGTTTGGAATGACGCGTTGGATTCATTTGTCCTTCAAATGGAAGAAGACAAACCTCAAATGGGTCGTTTGGACACTGTCCATTTATTTGGAGTAAGTATCCTAAGACTCTCCCTCTCACTGACTGACTCACTCACTCTCTCACTCACATGCTCAGGCACATCCTATAACAGATATTGTCTTTATCGTCTATGTGCTTAAGGGGAATAAAGGCAAGGGTAAGGGAAGAGATATTCTAAGGAGTCCTATTTAAAAAATGGAGAAACGGAGTTAAAGGATATTAATTAATTTTTATTACTCTTTAAAATTATATATTCTCTTCATTAAAAGTATAGGTCTTATGGCAAATTTGCCTCTATATTATAAGTTTAGGTACATATGAGACTTTAAACTTATTTTCAATATAATATTTTTTTAATTTTTGAAAATAATATAATATTGCCTCTACCATTAACAAATATTATATTAATTTTAACAATTAGTTGATAAAAAAAGTTATATAAAAAACCAAGTCTTGATTTTTTTTTGTGACTTTTTGTCCTTTTATGTAATTTTAAAGTTCTTTTTATAATTTTATTATTAATTAAAAGTTAAAGTTAACTTTACGTAATGATAATGGCGACGTTACACTATTTTTATAAGTTGAAGAAATAAAGAACATGAAAAATGAGTTTAAAATTTTAAATACTTTTATATTAATAATTTAAGAGTGGAATTGTTTTTTAACCCAAAATTTTATAAATCTACTTATCTATTTTTTTTATTTATTAAAAACTCCCCTCTGGTCTATCCCTCCGACTAACCAGGGGGTTAGGGGGACCCTTTGATTTGTAGGTAGACCCTTTTTCTATCTACCAAATGTAGACTTTAAGTACATGTCGAGAAACAAAAGAGTGGGATTTTGGAATGAATTCCTCCATTTTGTTTTCCTCTCCAACGGTGTTTCTTCTTATACCTAGAGAGTATACTTTTCGTTTACCTTGTCTCTGTAAAATTTAGCCGTTTTATTTTTGTATAATTTTTTATTGAAATTAATCATTACTTGTGTTGTATATTAAAAATTTGTAATTTTCCATGATATTTTGGAACATAAAAATAAATAAAAATTAATATTATTTAAACAATTCACAATCTCATTTACATGGTCTAAATGAGATAATCAATCAACGACATTGCAAGTTTTTTTCTTGAGTATAGATTCAAAATTCAATGCATAATTTTTACTTTGTAGTTGGACTTAATTTTCTTGGTATTAATTATCTTTTGAAAAATAATTACTTTCCCAATATGACTATAGATTGTATCATATTGAAGTTTCCTAAACGTGTGTTTGGTTGGGAGTTTTTGAAGGAGAGTTTGTTTAAGAAATTTTGGAGTGGATCATTTTTTTTAAAATTACAATTCATCATATTTTATTATATATTTAAGGAATTTATTTATTTTTTTATAAAAAACTTGTTATCGTTATAATTATTGGTTTATTTTTTGTTCATATATTGACAATATGATTGGATGAGAGTGGATTTTAAAAAATCATGCAATTTAAATTGAGGTGTAAAATTATGTTCTATAAGAAATAATTAAAAAACTTTTAAATTAATATATAGAGATATAATAATAAATTAGTTATTATCTTCCCAATCTAAAAATTCCTCCCCTCTTCTCCTCTCTAACAAAATCAAATAAGATAATATTAAGACCCTTCCCTTCATCACCTCCCCTCCCCTTCATTTTCTTTGAACCAAGCACATCCTCTCACATGCCTAAATATTAATAATTATTTATTAGGAATATAATCTTTAAATTGCAATGATAGAAATTGTTTGAAATATTTTATTCATATAATTAGAAAATTTATTATCTATATTACTTGTAGAGAAAAATTAAATCTACACTAATTTAGTTTGTGTAAAAAATTTTTTTAAATTATATAAAAAGCTCATCCGCCTCCTCCTTCTCCTCCTCTTCTTTTATTAAATGCTGGCGTGGTTATTATTTGTATGAGGAAGATATTAAAATAATTAAAAATATGTTAAGGTAACTTTTAAAAATATATTTAAAATATAATTTTATCAAATTTAATAAATAATTAAATTATTTAAATATATTTTATTAAATATAAATTAAAAATTAAACACATATTGAGATGATTTGACATTTGCTGAAGTGGCTTCTGTCTAAGCTATATATTTTGGGATTGTGTAGGTCAATCGATGTGACCTTACATGGCTGATATGTCACATGCGTCAATATTATTTCGATCATCCCAACTAGATATCCACTGCTCTTGTCATGTGGGCGGGTAAAATGTACTCTATCTGTTAAAAATTAAAAAATATTTATAAAAAAATTTAATATCTTTAAATATAAAATACTTTTATATAAATAAAATTTTATTAATAATATTATTTTTTAATATTATCTTTTTTATTATATTCTTTTATAAATTGAATATTAAATGAAAAGCATTTTAAGAATTTTTTTATTTTAAAAAATTAAAATTGTAAAGTTTATTTAATGAATTTTGTTGATATGTGTAATTTGTTTAAAAGTTTCTTATAATTTAAAATAAAGTGAGTATTTTGGTCATGTTTTTAAGACGTCTTAATGATTATCTTATTTATAAATCTACCTTCCTTGTTTAAAAATGCAATACATGTTTGGAGGGATTAGATGTTAATAAATATAAGACATTTTTAAGATTTCAAGATGTAATCGTTGTATTTTTTTTAAAAGTGCTCCTAATGAATAATTTACTTTATATTTATTTTTTTAGTGAAACATCTTATTAAATATGGGTAAATATGGAAAGATGGTGTTAGTTTGAAAATAAATAACTACTTTATTGAGGATAAAATTTGATTAAAAATGCCTTATATATTTAATAGATGGAGTATATCCTTTTACCCCTATTAAATCTTGGGGTAGTTATTAAATGCTAAAATATTTCATTTTTAAAATATGTATATTTAACAAAGTAAAGTTGAAAATTTATTGAATTTCTAAATAGAGTTAATGAGACTTAATGTTTTCTTTGATTCTATTGAAAATGCTTGAAATGATTTTATATAGATTTACTAAAAGGGGTATAAAAAAAACTTTTAGTAAATTTTACACGATTCTTCATGGGACGATCCAAATTAAATTCTTGCAAGTTTGCATAAAACTATTACTTATTTTTCTATCACATTCTATAGGATTTGTTGGTTGCTGGAGTAGACACAACAAGTACAATAGAATGGGCAATGGCAGAGCTATCAAAGAATCCAGAGAAATTAGAAAAGGCCAAAAAGGAGCTTCAACATTATGTCATTGGCAAAGATATTATACTTGAAGAGTCAAATGTCTCAACGTTGCCATTCTTAAGGGCAGTAGTAAAGGAAACTCTTCGATTGCACCCACCAGCTCCATTGCTAGTGCCTCACAAGGCACTTGAAGATGTAAAGATTTGTGGCTTCACAGTGCCCAAAAATGCTCAAATTCTCGTCAACATATGGGCTATGGGAAGAGACTCAGCCATATGGTGTAACCCAAATCAGTTCATGCCTGAAAGGTTTCTGGAGAGTGAAATTGATTTTAAAGGTCATGATTTTGAATTGATTCCTTTTGGAGCAGGAAGAAGAATCTGTCCTGGATTGCCGTTGGCTTTCAGATCAGTTCACTTAATGTTAGCTTCCCTAATCCACCAGTATAATTGGAAGCTCGCAGATGATCTCCAACCTCATGAGATTGATATGGAGGAAAAATTTGGGCTTACTTTGAAAAGAGTTCAGCCTCTCAAAGCCATTCCATCCAAAGTTTATTAATAACTATAGTAGCACAAATATGCATTAGTAATTCTCAATCCTTTCTTAGTATGTGGAGATTGGAGTAATCCTTAGAATATTGAAATTTTAATTATGATCATTTTTCATCAGCAAATCACCTTTCTTTATTACATAGATATTGTGTGTGTTAAAATTATTATTTGCAAAACTTTAATTTAGTTTAATTTCCACACATTTAAGGTTTTCAAACTGATATTTAGGTAAAGTTAATTATTGTAACATGGGTTATATTTGAATTTGTTTTAGAAAAAGTAATTTAACAAAAGTAAAAAATATTTAGATGATTGATTAAGCATGAACCAATGTCTTGTTTAATTCAATAACTTGGCCGATTTTTCCAACATTCTGCATAACTAATTCAAAATCTTAAAATAGTGGTGATCAAATCACAAACACAGACACACTTGCGATTTTCATTACAGGAGGAATTAAGGCATCTTCCTATATGCCTACTAAGTGATATTCTTAACTAAATTTCTTTTGTTTTAGAGGATAATGAGCCTAGTTGTGTAATGAACTCTTGATTTACTCTTTAATTGTTGAGAAATGAGGTTTTGGTTACTTGTTCCTATGCTTTCTAATTCCTATTTAGTGATTAGCCACCACTTAGCAAGTTTTGAGTATTTGGGTTAAGCCTTGGAAGAAGAAACTCAAAATTGGACCATCGAAACAAGTAGTCTAGGAGCTAATTTTGCCTCCAGTGAAGGAATGTATCTATTAGACCTAGGTAATCCTTATGGGTTTTGATTTTCATGGAAATTAATTATTTAAGGTGTTAAATAAGTTGGCTCCAAGACATGTGAATTGGTTTTTCTCAAATTTTTTAAAACCTTTTTCCCAATGAAATAGTAAAAATGATTTTCAACAAAACAAAATAGATGAAGAGAGTTTAATACAAATGCAGCTTAAGAGAGAAAAGCAAGACATGAATATTTATATTGGTTTAGCCTAACCACTTGGCTTACATCTAGTATTCAAGATCACATTTGAGAGTTTTTACTAAATTCATAAGCTTAACTGGGTGCTTGCAATCTTAGTACAAAACCAAGACTCACGGTTTTGAACTTTACAAATCCCTTGCAAAACCTTTATAAGATAAAATCTCATTTAAGGAAAACATGTCCATAAGTTCATGCAATAAAAGATTGAGTAAAATAAGTTTTAAAACTTTCAAAAAAAAGTAGATAGAATACAATGAAAGCTTATAAATTAGAACTAAAAGTTTTTTGCAAGTAATGAATGCAAGTAGCATAGAAATAAGTTAATGTACACATAATTTAATACCCATTAATGTAAATGAGGTTCTATCTATAGTGTGAGAAAAATATAATCATTAAAGACCTCAAACTAGCTGCTTGGAGTAATATCATTCTGTTTTGAAAGTAGCTTATGAAAAAAATGAACTTTATCTGCAAAGTTCACTAAATGAGTGTCAGAACTCTACTTCTTGTGTGAAGGAGTTCGTTCTCACATAAATGATACTTGGCAAAAAAAGCTTAGGTTAAGTTCAATTTGCTTCTCACGATGATGCGACCTAGTTCTTGCAATAAGGGCTCACTCTAGTTCTAGTGAGAATTAGATGGTAGAGGTGAATGACCTCTTTATTTTCTAGTTCTTGCATGGGTAGGATCCAATTCTTTTGAAAGTTGGTTGGGCAAGTTCTAGAACACAAGACTTATAATTAGGATTTTTCACAAAGTATTCAGGTATTTTATGCTCTCTACTACACACTTGAGATTTTTCAAAGAGATAATCAACTTCTCACGTGAATCAACAAGTTCCAGCAAGAACTGGTTTGGGCACAACTCAAATAGAAACTTAAAAACCCTCCAAATGACATTATCAACATGGACAACACTAGATCACATCGATGAACAAATTATTTAAAGATCTTGAATATGTTTGTTGGAATCTTTACTTGCTAATCCATGAAATTTAGACAAAGAGTTAAGCAAGGATGGCTTTAATTCAAATGTATCATTATTAGTAATACCAAATCTATCATAATTAAAATTCAAGGTTGTTCTCTCCCTAATGGACCTATTATCTTGATTATTATTGGCATGCAAATTGTGTCCATTATTATTTCCATTATTTACGTCATGATTTTCATTCAAATTTCTCAAATTATCAGCCATACTATTAAAAACAAGAGATGAATCCATAAATTCAAAAGAATAACTACAACTATTTTCTAGTCTGAGTCACTACCACAGAATAAGCTAAATGTAATGTCACATATTTGACATTTATAAGCTAAAAATGACAAGTAAAAAAGGCATTAAATACTTGATAGTTGTTTCAAAACAACCGTCAAGTATTTAAACATATAATTGACAGTTTTATTATAGTGACCGTTAAATGTTATATATAAATATATTTGATGCTTGTTTGAATAAAATCATCAAGTATATTAATTATATACTTGACGGTTATATGTTAACAAGTGTTAAATATATAATTTTAAAAAGAAGTTAAAAAAATATTTACTTGATGCTTGTTTGTATAAAACCATCAAGTATTAAGATTAAATACTTGATGGTTTTATGTTAACATGTGTCAAATATATAATTTTAAAAAGAAATTAAAAAAATATTTACTTGATGCTTTCTTTAAAAAAACCGTCAAGTATGTTTGGCTTATACTTGATGGTTGTTTTAAAGTAAGCGTTAAGTAATTGATAATTGATGATTATTTCATAATAAGCATCAAGTATTACCTTTTAAATTTATGCTCCAGAACCTTTCGTTTTTACATTTCTACAACTTGAACATTTTCAAAAACATGCTGAGACTCCCTGAAATCCATTTTCATCACAAAAACTGCCTAAAAACACAAATTCATACTCAATTCATAATGGGTTTTGCTTGTGGGTTCTATTTTCTCAACTTCAAGCATAGTTCATTCAGTCGAGACTGCATTTCGTGCATTTTAGGTTCATTCTTCATCCCTTAGTCTTGAGTTTCTCTTTTGTCTTCTTAATTCTTATTTGGGTTTAGTGTTTAGTGTAAATCCTATTTGAAATTCCCCTTCTTGCTCTTTAACAGTGAAAATCATGGTTTTCTCTCCTCCTCCTCTACTTCTTCATCTTAGTTTATGCAGTGGTGTACTTCTCTCAAGTAAATTGACCTATCCTTATTCAACCCTTTAATTTCTTCTTTGTGGCATTGTTGTCCATTGAATGTAATTAGGGAGTAATTAATTGGAATATGAAATTTTTGTTCATTGTTAGGTGTATTCTAGTGACTAAATATATAGCTTTTGGTTTTAGGTTCTTCGTTAATAATGAAGTTAAATCTAGGATTATATAAAAATTATTTTACTATTAGGAATTATAATTTTGTTGAAAATTTACTTCTTTTATTGTGGTGGTGATGATAATTTTATTATTGGATAACTTAATTAGGTTTAGTTGAGTTATGTGATAGAACTTTAGGATAAAATTTTTATATCAATTGTTGTTGGGTAACTTGATTGAGTATGATTAAGTTATATAAAAACTTGTAGGATGAAATTTTTTAATAAAGAGAGGGCATAAAGCCAGAGACACTCTCTTTTTTAAGCCCTTATATTATCGAAATTATTTTAATGGCTAGCATTAACATATAGCTATTAGTTTTAAATTATAATAAAGGGAAAATGTACAAACATGTGATCAGTGACTTATTGATTGATTGATCCTTATATCTAACTCTCTACTATTTAGGAGTAGTCAAAGTCACTAATCATATTTCCCTCTTAATCTTTCTAGAAATTATGGATAAGGAATGGATGTCTATCAATCGTCTATCTAAGCAATATTGGGATGGGGTGGTGAATTTCATTAAGTTGCAATTAAGCATGCAGAGACCTTGTTAAGATTGTTTGCCCTATTTAAAGTGCAACCTTATGAAGTAGGTTAGTCAAAATACTTGTGAAGAACATTTATTAATTAATAGGATGGATCAAAGTTACAAGTATTGGACAATGAATGGTGAGACAAGGGATGATAGCGTTTATAGCTAGGAGCATAGTGAGAGCTATGTATCATCTCCTAATGATTTTAATACATGTACACTTGAGGAAGATTGTTTTAAACAAATGGCCAAAATAATTGAAGAGGACCTTAAGGATTGTTTGAAAATGTTTGACAAGTTGAAAAGTGATGCGAAGATGCCATTGTACGCTATTTGTAGTGCATCAAAGTTGTTAGCAATGTTAAAATTGTATAACATGAAGGCAAAACATGGATGGAGTGATGCAAGATTTACTGAGTTGCTTGGGTATTTGAAAGTAGAATTACTTTCTAAGGAAGATGAGCTTCCTTGCCAAACATATGATGCAAAATAAGTATTGCGATCAACTGGCATGAATTATAAAAAGATATACATGCCTCAATGATTGCCTTTTATTTTGGAATGAATATCCATTGTTAACCAAGTGTTCAAAGTGTAATGCCTCACTCCAAGATGAATGGATTAATTCCAATAAAGGCACTCTAGTATTTTACAATCATGGCTATATTTAGATGCATGTGTAGCAGTGCAGAAGTTGCAAAAAGCTTAACATGGCATGCAGATGAAAGATTAAAGACAACATGCTTTATCATCTTACTGATTCTTCACAATGGAGAAAGATTGATTATAAGTACCATGAATTTGGGGAAGAGAGTAGGAACTTATGCCTTGCTTTGTCTACTGACAGGATGAATCCTCATAGGCTTCAAATATAAGTACCTTGAATTTAGGGAAGAGAGTAGGAACTTATGCCTTGCTTTGTCTACTGACAGGATGAATCCTCATAGGCTTCAAAATAGTAGTCACAGAACATGGCTAGTCATTTTAGTGATTTATAACCTTCCTTCCTGGCTTTGCATGAAGCACATATATATGATGTTGTCCATGCTAATTTTAGGACCCAAGCAACTGAGGAATGACATAGACATATATTTGGCTCCTCTAATTGATGACTTGAAGATCATGTGGGAGTTAGGTGTAGAGGTATATGATGGGTATAGAGAAAAAAGATTCAATTTACAAGCTATACTTTTCAATACAATAAATAACTTTCTTGCTTATGGTAATCTATCAGGGTATAGCA